CAACTTGTCGGCAGGCATTCTCTGAAACCCAATCCTGCTGCTCAAATCATCTCTGATGGGTGCATACCGTGCTCAACACGAAGTACAGCTCCTCTGCCTACTGTTGCATAGGTAGGCACTTTACACACGTGTGCATATGTGCGAACTGCGAATGTGTCATCTATCTCCGTATTGCATCAATGTGGTTAATAGGCCTAATTACATACAAACCCCAAGAGCAGAAACATCCATGTACATGTATCTACCTACCTAAACTGACATGTATACATGTATACGTACGTGTAGGTGTATGTGTAATTTTAGATACATCTTGTGCACGTGCAGACATACATACACTCGTACATACATTTGCACATATATACATATATATGTGTACATACACACATACATATTCCTTCAGTATAATTACACATACATGCCAACACACAAGCATTCCGCAGACATGCATCAAGACACACACACATGTATATATATATATATATATACACACACACATACACGTATGTAAACAAATGCTAAGTATATTTGTATTGGCATATGCACAAGTTCAATCCAAACGCAAATTCCACACACGCATACATACATATATATATATATATATATATATATATATATATATATATCGAGAGAGAGAGAGAGAGAGACCATACTGTGTGTATATATATATATATGTGTGTGTTTGTATGATTGTATGTATGCTTATATGTATACACACATACACATGCACACACACACACACAGATGCACATGCACATGCCTATACATACATACATACACACATACATACAACATACACACATACACATACGTACACCTACACAGACACTTACATGTAAATACCTGTACATACATGCATGAACATGTCCATATACATATACATCTACACCTACATCTACATGCACATATACACATACATACACATGCGTATGCGCATGTGCACATGGGCTTATGCTGTATATACGTATTGAATATATGCACAAACAGGCTGACACATATAGAAGCACATATACATGCACACCTATTATTTAGGGTACCCAACAGGGGACCACAATTTTGACAACCACCCATATATGTGTACATGGCTTTTGTATGTGTATATATTGTTTTATTCGCTTATGTACTTGTTTGGAGGGGGAGGGGGAGAGAGAGAGAGAGAGAGAGAGAGAGAGAGAGAGAGAGAGAGAGAGAGAGAGAGAGAGAGAGAGAGAGAGAGAGAGAGAGAGAGAGAGAGAGGAGAGAGAGAGAGAGAGAGAGAGAGAGAGAGAGAGAGAGAGAGAGAGAGAGAGAGAGAGAGAGCGAGAGAGAGAGAGAGAGAGAGAGAGAGTGCATGCCCACCTGTGCGGGCGGGTGTGTGTGTGTGTGTGTGTGTGTGTGTGCGCGTTCGCACTGCGTCTACCAACTGTGTGTTTGTGCTGGGGGAGGGAGGGAGGGAGGAAGGGAGTTAGTGCCAAGATACAAGCTTAATTACAAGGATCACGACAGTCGTCATTGTCTTTATAGTTGCGAATGTTAGCAAGCTATGTGTTCTGTTGGCGCAGTCATCCCGGATCGAACCCGAGTCGACACCCCAAGATAAGATCTTAAGATGCTGATTCCGGAAACACTGGAGGTGCTTCACGATCCAACACTAAGACCCCATGAAATTTTCACCGGGCGACATGTTGTGTTCCATCGTTCTGTTCGCTGCGATCTCTGAGGGGCCGAACCTGCTACGCTGAGTTGCGCAGAGGGATACACAGGATCGTAGTCAAAACGCCATGTCGAATTCGTACCGTTCGAACCCAACGAACGTGTGCCGCTTCTTCTGTACCAATATGAGCCATCCATAACCCTGCATGAAATGGACTCGATGTCTTGCTCCTCTTCCTCCTCCCACGGTAAACTTCTGGGTTCACGCTGGCGACTGTTAGATTGAGTACGGCAGATGGCCCGTACAACTTAGGCAGGCTTGCGCAGGATCTGATTTCAGATCATCGGCGGCCAAACCATGCTAGCCGAGGTCCGAGAACTTACATCCCGAAAAGCGATATCATCCAAACCCTGCAGGCCTCTAGGATCCTTCTTGGTGCAAGCGAGTTGCGTCTCCGCGCTGTGCAGCAGGGTCTCGAAGCTCTCTAGGCACATGATCCTTATGTATCAGCTTCGCTTCCCGTTCTGCCTCCGGGTGCGACCTACTATGGTGCCTGGGACTAACTGCGTACGAACCAACAGCAGCACCAATCAACATCTCTAAGCACTGGAACTGGGACCCGGAGGCCCAAAAAGCAGGCATCTAGCAGAAGGTTCATGAGGGCAGCGTCGTAGCATTTGCTGGATTGCCTGTTGGAAGACACTGGGTTTGGGCATTTTGGGCAGCCAGAACAGAATCGAGGATTCTAACATGTTGACATTAAGCAAATTCGTCAGCGCATTCCTAACTGTTAGAATCATCTCGACAGAAAAACTGGTCGCATCCTCCCGCAAACACTTCCACTTCCAATTGGGCAGGGCACACCAAGACGACAACATGCATGGACATCTTCTCATGCACGCAAGTGTGGTCTGTGGTGGCATCATATATAGCACACAAACATGAGTAGAGAAGCCGCAACAATCTAGGCGCGGCATCAAACTAATAAACGATCAGATCAAGAATCTGGGTAGCATGCATGCAATAGAAGTCTGGACGCTTTGGGTGGAGGCTAACCTTGCACAGTGCCACTACTCTGGAAGGAGAAAATCACTGTTGAGATCTGTTGAGGCCAAAGCCGCTGCTGCTGGTGAAGCTCTCGCAGGGACTGCTGCCAGTGCGTCCATGCTTGATTGGTTCCCGGCTCATCTTCTGAAATGCCTGAGTCCATGCACCACTGAGGCTAATTCGAGACGAGTTGATTTCTGCACATTGAACTTCGTCCCCGACTTGAGATGCTTGGTGTCGAACGCGGCTGCTTCAGAGGCTTCGGAGGTACGAGGAGTGGCAGGCACGTCTTGATCGAAATCTAGGCTGATTCCAACTAACAAACATATTCTCTGTGCACCGTACAGGCCCTCTGGTTGCTCTTGCATGCAAGAAACTTGAGTGGCACGTAACCACATGTCGGGCTGAACATGGCCACGGATCTGCTTCCCCAGCGCCACGCATGCGAGGGCTTGACACGATCAGCAACAGCTTCATTCTTCGACTCAAGGCCCCGAACATCTCTGACGCCACGAAGATCGCCAAAGCACAATTAAGTAAAAGCTGAGGCACGTGGTAGGGTGGGGCGCCGATGCTGCCCACCACTGGGGATCGGCATTCCACTTGCAGAAAAGCTGTAAGAAGAGGAGAGCTGTTCCTGTTGGGGTCTGAGGTTTACCGAAGAGCTTCTAGCTGTCGGCTGAAGCACGACAGTGTTGGCAGGCTTTTTGTGCATAGCGAGGCCGGACTCGGCCTGTCGACGGAGGCTATGTAGAAGCTGTGTCACGCCGATTTCTTGCTGCACTGGTGACTTTTGCGACTTGCGTCTATGCACTCTCAGCTTGAGCCCATGCACAGCACAGCAGCGCTGCGGGTTCTCCCAATCGGAGAATGCATCTTTCATCTGTCCGAATCTATCTGTCTCTACCTATCTAAGTAACTGCTTCTATATCTACCTACCCAGTAGCTTAGCTATCTATCCATCTGTCGATCGATCTATCTATTCCATCTTTCTAACCTACTTTAGTCGAGAAGCCAGCAGGTTAGCAACGGGGCAGCCACAAGTGCACCAAGAGAAAAACTGACCAAAATGCGGACGGAAATCGAAACCACAACTCGTGAAGACCTGACCTAGAGCTTCCACAGTTACTACTCTCCTACTCAATCCTGTAGAGCGAAGTATAAAGTGCACCCCAACCCGGAGGCTTGAACAGCCCAGAATCGGCCACGTCGGCAGCGGATTCCGGCCGAGAGCTCGTCGCATAGCACCGCACACATGCCACGCAAAGCCGATCAAGCTCGAACTGCTAAAGACGGTCGGAGAACTCAGGTTCATGGCTTGTGAAGATATGGTCGAGTGTGTGGGGTCCAGTTGCTCCTTTCGGACATAGTAAGACCGCATGATTGCACGTTGCAGAGTTCCATTCAATGGCCAAAGCGCCTATGACGGCACTTAGCCGCCTTGTCTGGGAAGACAGCCTACCATGCCGTTCCATACATGGTGACTTCGCAGAATACCGGAAAATCTCGCAGATGCGAATCTTTGCACACTAAGCGTAACTCAGATTCCACAGCTGAATCAGATGCACAAGCCTGAGGCACTTGAACAGCATGCACACCCAAAAGTGCTCCCCTTCCCACCCCCTGCTTCCAAACAAAAGGAACACTGTGGCTGGTGCATACTGTTCCACGCTGATGTTGGCTGCACACTGTGCTGGAACCCTGCTATATCGGGCTACGAATGTGCATGCAGGTAAACTTTCCAGGTAAACATGCATGCCGCATGCACACATACGTACATACATGCATACGTGCTACATACATATGTCCATGCATGCATACAAATAAACATCTTTGCAGACGCATACATACCTGCATACCGCTTTGCATGCATACATGCAAACACTAATCCATCTGTAGTATTACATTGCATTGCATTACATACAGACACACACCTGCATGCATACATATGTACATGCAGGCATGCACGCATGCATACACGCATCCGTCCATCCATCCATCCATCCATCCATCCTTCCATCCATCCCTCCATGCATCCATCCCTGAATCCCTCCATCCCTCCATCCATGCATGCCTGTATGCGTGACATATGTATGTACAGACATACACACATACATACATACATAGAATGCATGTGTATATACATATACACATAATCGTACACTTGTTTACACGCTTGTGTTCCTGTATTGGTTGGACTGGACTTAAGACAGCTCTACTCATCGCAGAAGTTCAAATCAGCTTGAAGCCCTGGACTGGGGGCCAAAAATCGACCTAAAAACTTCCAAACACAAGACTTGCCACAATGCCCTCAGGCGAACGCACGAAGTGGAGCTCTCCAGTGAGGTGTCGATCCTGCTGATTCCCGACAAAGAGAGCGAGAGAGAGCGAGAGAGAGAGAGAGAGAGAGAGAGAGACTGTGTGTGTAATACATCGAGGGAGGGGGATCGGGGAGAAGGAGGGATCGAAGTGAGTGGCCGAGCGAGCAAGTGAATAAGTAAAGGTGCATGTGCGCACGTGGGTGTTTGGCTGTTCCTGAGGCTTTGGCACAAGGGTTAGCGGCTAGCGGGTCGCCGGCTTCTATCAGTAGCATCGGCACCTTGTACCAGGCCTGTCTTGCACTGAAAAGTCCAAAGCCGTGATGGAGAATGCAACATCAAGGGTCCAAAATTCTGCTGGGAACCAGAACAGTCAAACAGCACTGTTGCTGTCAACGCTATGCAGCTTTTCCAATTTCAGACCCAAAGCGGACGAGGCTAATGGGGCTTGGAAGCACATGCCTATAGTTCTTCAATCAATTCAGAACGTCTGCTTCGTCAATGTGATTGCTTAGACTGCTCTTACTTGCTTGTGACTAGTGAACTGGCCTTGAGGCCTTAGGTTCCGGCGGCATGTCCTGCAAACACTGCATGGTCTACCAAGCTCTCAGATACGAAAAATTGAAAATTACGGCTAGCTGGGCACAACGGGATTTGCAATAAGTCCGGGAAGAGAGTTCTTAGCTGTCGAAGCCTGGCTTTGATGATTGGCTTTTCCAAGCTTGTTTCCCAGTTATGTACAGAGCCTTGAGGGTAGCACATACTCATATCGACTCGTACAGGTGCACGAAGCCACACAAGAAAACAGTGGCAAAGGCGCGGCAGTACCACTACCAATACCGCAGCAAGGCAATGGGCAGCAAGCAACAACCTGAGTGCCAGCAGCAAGCCTGGCGAACCCCGTTGTTCAACACCGATCGCTGCAAACCTGTGCATGGTTATTTGGAGGCGGAAGCATCGAAAGCTGAACATGTGAGAAACAAGCAGCGGGAGTTCCGTGCGCTAATTCAGGATAACTTCAGCCCGAAACTCCCCGACGTTTTCATAAGCCAAGATCCTCGTAGAGCTTCTGGAGCAGCTTCGGGACCTCTGAGACGGCTTTCTGTGACTCGTGACAGCTCCGTCCACATGCTTAGCACGGGCTTCATCTACCTAACTGACAAAATCAAAGAGATTATGTTAGTGATATATGGCACGACAAGACAGTGGACTGCAGCGGGTGATGGGCATTGTAATCCGCATGTATGTTTTGATGGAGCGATATCTATGCATATCTACACCTACCTACCACTGTGTCTCATGATATTTTTCTCCTGAACTGACAAGCGTTTGGAAGCACTGGGTTCTCATGCGTTTTACCAAGCAAGAGAACACGGACACAGTCAGCGTGCATCATTAGGGTTCTTGGTATCCGCCTGGCTTTCCTTACTCTGTAGACGTCAGCATTTGTACTTAAAACCCATAGCCCCCCGAGCTCAAAGATCAATCATGCCCCAAAGAACATCCAAGCATCTTTGATCCTTGATCTGATCTTTGGTACCGTTAAAGTTTGAGTACAAGTCAGTGTTTATACGGAAACTCTGGCGGGATCAAGGATGTGCCCCTCCAGGCATCTTTGATCTTTCATCCAGCTGGGTTCAGCATGAATCACTACCTACACTGAAACTCAAGCGGTATCACACGACAAAGCAAAGCTGTTCCGGGGCATCCTTGATCCTACGTCTGTGAATCCGACTGATTTCGGTACAGTCCGGGAAAGCTCAAACATTTCTAGCGACATGCTTCTCCCAGGGTTTACATGGCTTTTTCCGAGGCTGTCTTGTGGTTCTCATTTGTTTTAGATTCGCTGTCCAACCTTTTTTCAGTTTTGTTAAGCGCATCTACGGCTGTCCCAAGTTTCTCCTGCATGTGTCCTCCTCTTCGTTAGCTATGCTTTCCTGGTGTATCCTCTTATCCCATGTTTCGCCTTGTTCGCTGGAAAACCAAGAACATATGAACACCCTTCCTTTTCTGTATGTAGTTTCTCTGTGCTTTGAAAGTTGTTCCAAGGTTTGCCATTGATTTTCTATGACTTTCTTGTGTGTCTATATATACATACGGTAACTAAAGACACCACGCAGAACATTCGTCGATTGCCTGCAGCAGCTGCATGTGACTATCAAGCATGGTTCGAAAATTCGGGCAGGAGGAACAGGATTAAGGCCACTATCGGTCGAAGCCGAAGTGACCAGGTCGAGGCGCGCCACTCTATCACCCTGAAGGTTCGGCATGAGGGCATGGCATCAGATGCGACTGCCCGGCATCGAAAGCCTGCGCTGCAAGCATGAGGTGCGTAATGCTCCAATCAGCGACTTAGTTTCTAGAAAGCTGTGCTACAGTTGGTGGGCTTCGCCTTCGGATGTCTCAACAGGGAAGCGTCAGCAAAAGCCTTAACCTTCTCAAGCTTCGGGGCACGTTTGCGTGTTTGTCTGGTGTACATCCAGCTACACTTGCAGATTGCCCACGTCACCGTGGCTGCACTCACAATCCGCTTCAATGCGATTGATGCGACAGACTGAATCGATGAGTCGAGCAGAACCACGTAAAACACTACCCATCTCTGTGCCCCATCTAGTGGCCTGTTTCGCTCTCCTCTTCTTCGTCGCCGGCATCACCACCGTCGCTATTGACTGTGCAAGAAAGCAGTACAAAGAGGTCGGAGGAGAGCATGGAAATTGAGGCCAAGAGCACGGGTCCGAGGCATCCCTTTTTTCTGATTATATTGAGAAGATAGGCGAGACTCGAGATACCCTGAGTGGCTGTAAACAGTAACTCGGAAGCCACTAGTAGCACTGGAAAGTCAGTAGGATGCCGCTAACAAGTGCATGCATAGAATCTTCGTGCTCCTGGCTTTATGTAGCTAATTCATTGTAAAAGTGTGGCTGGGCAGGCACCTCTAAGCACCCAGTTTTGTCTTGCCACATGGCGAAGCAGTGTGGCTTCAAGCATCACCAAGCTTTTCTACGTGCAGCTCGCTCCAGGGTCCCTATACTTTAAAGGCATTTCATCCTGAAGCACTGCCCACAGGCGAACATCTAGCATCACCTGCTGGTCCTGCTGAAGGACCTATAACTGATGAGATGAACTAAATTTTGCGCCGACCGATCAAGCGACTCAGCCGGACCTGCCACGAATAGCTACAAGTGCAGACCGGATGACCGAAACGCCTTTCAGGTCATAAGAGGAACTACGTCTTCCTTAGGTTTGAAGCTTGCAGCTCCAATGCATCGCACGGGCTTTAGCCATCGCTTCCTAGCCAGCATCAACCAGGGCATCCTGGCGTTTTTGGGAGAGATCATTCTTCAAGCTTGTACACACCTGGCTAGTATTCGCAAGTCAATACATCGCCAGAAATCATCATCTGCTAGGTATGCATGCCTGTCAGCTCACACTTCGAGTTCACGAGCACTATACAAGAGGCAATCAAGCATTTTTGCGTGCTCAATGAATCGGTAATGTGGAGATATGTTCAGGATGGAGCAGCAGCAGCGGCAACGGACGGAACAGCAGTGAGAGGTGGAGGCGGGGGAAGCAGGAGGAGGAGGACTTGTGCCTGTCCACACCATCGTCATCGACATCATCCGCATCGCCGCACAGTCTATCTTGTCATCATCATCATCATCATCCTCAAATCATCACCTTCATCAACAACATCATCATCATCGGCATCGTCAGCATCGTCGTCATCATTATCATCGTCATTACCATCATCTTCATCGTCATCATCAGCAATATCATTCTCGTCCTCTCACCTTCAATCTCAAAGGCCTGCTGCTGATGCCATGCCAGGACGCCGCGTAGCGGCAAGGGAAGCGGTTGCTACATGGGTTTTGCGCTCAAGGTCTCAGGTTCGGTACTCACGGTTGAAAAGGTTGGCTCTCAGGCTGAATTGGGTGCTGGTTGAGGATGCAAGAATCTCTCGGGCAGGGGCAAGGTTTTGAGCCTGGGGGTCACCTGCCAATCTCCATCATTCCTGGGACATCCGAAGGCCAGGGATGGATACGAAGCAAGCGCCATTTTAGGGTTTCGTGAAAAATACATACGCAAAGCTCGGGGATCGGGAATACGACAGCTTCAGGCTTGGCTCGTCCTGTTTGGGGCCCTGTGGAACAACAAGTAGACGAATAAAACGAACAGATGAAACAAACAGCTTTATGATGTTTGATGTCTATAAAGATTTTTTTGTTCACAGAAGGCATTGCGCTTCAATACATGCTTGTTTCAATGGAAAAATGTCTGCACACGAACATGTTCGCAATCCTTGCACACAGAGCAGGCGATGCATGACGGTCACAACCACTGGGTACCACTGGCTCCGCGCTGTCAACTTAATACGCATAGAAAGTCGTTATAGCGCAACTCTGGGCATGCATGCTTTCGTCTCGATCTTTGTTCGCAATGTGGAACCGGCGCGAATCCGCTGTGCATGGCATGTATGTTCATAGGAATGTAACATCCTTTGCGGAAAAGCTGGTACTTCATAGCTGAATGCTACGACCTGCACCCGGGGCTTCGAAACCTGCTCTATCTACATCTCATTCCAAAGCCAATTCCCGTCCAAATAGCACCACGCTGGCCTCTTCGGCCCAGTCCATGTTGTACGCCTCCATGTGAGCAGTCACACGTCGAGCATTTCTTGTACGCGACTGTCATCGTAAAACATTGTGATTTCGAGTTCTTCCTCTCATCCCTCTCATCGCAAGTGGTAAAGAATGGTGCGATCATCGCTGAGAGGGGTAGGCTTTGTGAAAGCTCAGGCCACCAACAGTCCTGTGCTGATCCTGCAAGTTCAGATCGAGGCTTCAGGTTCCAGCCCTATTTAGTGAAAAACACGTCGTAGTAGTAGTAGTAGGAGGAGGAGTAGTAGTAGTGGTGGTAGTAGTAGTAGTAGCAGTAGCAGGAGCAGTAGAATGAAGTCGAAGTAGAAGTAGAAATAGAGGTAGAGGTAGAAGTAGGGAGTAGAAGTAGCTGGTAGTATCAGCAGCAGTAGTAGTAGTAGTAGTAGTAGTAGTTGTAGTAGTAGTAGTAGTAGTAGTAGTAGTAGTAGTAGTAGTAGTAGTAGTAGTAGTGGTAGTAGTAGTAGCAGTAGTAGTAGTAGTGGTAGTAGTAGTAGTAGTAGAAGTAGTATAGTAGTAGTAGTAGTAGTAGTAGTAGTAGTAGTAGTAGTAGTAGTAGTCGTCGTAGTAGTCGTAGTAGTTGTTGTGGCTGGTAGTTGTAGAAGTGGTAGTACTAGTAGTACTAGTAGTACTCGTACTAACAGTAGTACCAGTACTAGTAGCGTAGCAACAGCGGCGGTATAAGACACACGAGGGGCTAGCATAGGCACATGACAATGACAACCCTGGCTGTTCGTCCAAGCAGCCTTCGCCCGATTCGTCACGAACGGATAATCGAAGAAATCGCCGTTGAAGGATACCTGATTCGATGGCAAGCAACAGACAGCACGAACGCATATCTACGGGCGCACAAAATGCCCTCAGGCCGTCTCTGCAACAAAAACCACAACCACAGGCACAACAACAACCACAACCACAACCGCAACAAGACCAATAACAAGAGCAAGTACAATAACAAGAACACCAACACACCCAACAACAACACCAGCAGCAAGCAGCAACAACTACACCAAGAGAAATAACAATACTAAAAATGATAATAAGAAGAAGACCACCACCACCACCACCACCACCACCACCAACAACAACAACAACAACAACGGCAGCAACGACAAGAAGCGCAGGCACAAGCAGAACGCCGCCGGCAGCCGCTAGCGTCGCCGCCCCCACCATCACCAGTGCCACCACCACCACCACCACCACCACCACCACCACCAACGACAATAATGACAGCACGTAGATGGCAGCAGGTAGCAAAGAAGCAGCGGAAGCGATCTTACCAACAAAACAAGATCGTAAAGCAAGCAACGGAAGACTGAATCAGCACCTACCATCATGCGCATGACTTGGTCTGCTCGACTGCATGTGGACACGAGCGACGACGAACGTTGAACATGCTTCCAACAAACCGTGTTTCGTCTGGGTCCACACGCCATCACATGGGGGCAGGTCTCCCGCATCAGTGCGAAGAAGCGCCGCAGGAGGCCGGCCTAGAGATCGTGGACAGACTCAGGATCTGTTTGCAGAGATGCTCCGCGATGGACCTACATAATTACCTCAAAATCGAAGTGCACCTACCAAGCGATCTGCATCAGCTAACACCTTTTCATGCCGGAGGGCCAAGCTTCAGTACTGCAGATGAAGCAGCAGGCCCATAAACATGAACTGATCGTCGGCCACTATGCAAGGCTGCATGTGGTCTGGAGCAGGTTGTTGGCTATGCAAGCACTGCAAGACGCGAGTCTAATCTAGGATCAGACAGTACGCACCGCATGACGAAGTAGGCACGCGGTGGAAGCTGCGTGCAAAGGCAAAGCGCTAATCAAAGGTTCAGGGATCAGCTGTGTGGCCCGACTGCAAATCGCAAATACGACCATACATCAGCTGTCAGAGGCTGGTGGCTTCACCCACCAGCACCAACGTGCAAAGCAAGCGAACGTGGCTGTAGCCACCAGGTCGGTACTGACGAGCACGACAAACATGGATACTGTAACCAGGCAGGAGTCACCAGCTGAATCGTGAACTGACGAAGGTAACTACTCTAAGCATGCATTCAGACCACGCTAATTCTTACAGAAGTGTATTCATGTATACCAAAAACGAAGTTGTGAAAGCATCGCACAGTTTCTAAATACATGCATATAGAGAGTGAGAGACAGACCGATCAAGCACAACTCTGATCGCCTCATCCTCCTCATTGTAAGTCTGGAAGACGCCCTCGTACCTCTGATTCGAGGAGGTAAGGTGTGTCGCAATCGTTCCTCTTCTTTCGGGGAGAAGCTTGAGGTTGAGCGTGTGCTGTGAAAGTGCGAACCGGCATAGACTACAAGTTTTGCTCAAGTGCTCAAGTGCCCGAAAACACAAATCCGACTCACGGGTCCCTGAGGTGTTGCTGGTGCTTCTTCGGTTTCCAAGGGGTCCCATCATCGCTGCAGCCAAACAGCGCTAGTAGAACCTAGGGGAGCAGAAACTGAGAATTGGATTGGATCAAAACTGTGCAGAGCAGGAACGTGGTCTGAGCTTTCTTTCTTCAGACTCTTGGCCTCAGGTGCGAGATTGAATCAGCGGCCGAGCTTTGCAGATTCTCGATTCTCAGGGAGGGTAATCCCCTCGATAGGGTACGAGGCCTCCGACGATTGTTTGCCGGAAAACTCTCAGAGGGCACTCTGGCTTCGGCGTGTACTCCAGCGGCTCGATGTCTGCCGCCACCTGTGCAAGAACCCGCTGGCGCTGAACGCGCCATGTGTCATGGAGTCTGTGGCCTAACCCATGAAAGCATCGTTGGCAGACCGAGCGACGCAAAGCACTGACTTGGCTGCATGGGATGAACATGCTGGACAACGGGAACAAGAGCAAGGTGGCAGACAGTCTCCGGCAAGGGATAACCTTACACACCTTCTGCTGGCGAAAATACGATATGAGACACCTTATACAGAATCACGAGCGGATCGGGTGTCTCCTGCATGGGCCGAAAACTGAGAGCTGGCAGTGACAACGCTGCTGCTGATCTTGCAACTGCTTCGGGACTTTTGGAGTATGTGACTCCAGAGAGGTGTTTTCAATTTTCAGAGCCTCAGCGCGGTTCACGATCAGGAAACCGGATCCATCCTTGGATTGTGGATGGGCCAACTGACAAATTGTGAAAGCCGTTTTGTCTCAGTCCTTGTCGAAGGTACTGCAAGGCAGTTAGGCTGCAGATTGCAGAAGATGGCACGCAGCTCTGTTCGAAGTCGTGTCGAAACTGTACACAGGATGCATATATTCGAAATAGTTTTTGCTACTCCAATGTTTTCAATGCCTATATAGTGTAGTGGAAGGTGCGTCACCTGCAGGTACCAGCCCCCCTTCCCGTGCCAAATTGCTATTACTCCTATTCGGCGACGAAGCAAAACGACATCCGAAACCCAACCCAGATTAAGAAACATCACAATCACCTAGCAGCTACGGAGGCGTGCGGTGTCAGGTAAAGGATGCAAGTTCGCGGTTGTACAATTGCAGCAGAGTTATACGGCACTTGCACTATGTCCTATACTCGAGTCCCTCAGTCCAACAGTCTGAATCAGTCGTACAAAATGAGTCCCGGATGTAATCAAGCCGTCAACACATCCGAAGCCTGAACAATCTATCAACGCTCTGGGCTGCAGCTACGTCTACACATGGGTGCACCTGTCCGTTGGTATGCGGTTAGCAATTGGTTCACACATACACACATAGTGCCTGCACATGCCTTGCTGTATATCCGCTGAATCCTCTCCAGTGAGCTGAGTATGTGAACATGTGTGCTATACCTGAACATTGATACTTGTACATCTGCGTGTCTGACTACAACATCAACGGCTGGGCAGGTGAATACACACAGATCTGCGAAACTCTGGAAGGTTCTCTGCCATAAACCCTCAATCCTGCAAATGGGTGGTTGTCAAAATTATGGTCCCTTTTTGGGTACCTATTATCAAACGGCACCTATTTTTTAAAAATGTCCAAAAAGGTACCTTAATTTTCACAACTACCCAAATCAAAAAAAACACCGCTTAAGGCCAGGGCCACCATGATGGAGATCATCGTGATCTTGTCCCGGGAGGAGTCAGGGAACTTCAGAGGCTCCTGCAAAAAAAGGGTTTAGGGTTTAGGGTTTAGGAGTAACGTTGCAAACTTCTTTACATACTGC